GGGCGGAGGATGGGGAGTGTCCCCCTGGAGACACAAGCTCACCTCTCTTTTAAATCTCTTTAAGACAATTTTCATTTGTCTCATCAAATCTGCTGTCAATGACATTGAAGTCTGAGGGTGGCTATTGCTATGTAGCACAGCTGGGCAGATAACATGGGCAGTGCATAGCCTGGATGACAGCATTTGCAGCTGCTTGAGTGTAGCTGTGAGCTGAGAGTGCGCGGCAGTTGCAACAACAATAGAAACCTGAGCAGGTGTCAAGGTGGCTACCTAGTGTGATAGCAGCCTGAGGAAGGGGTCCAGGGGAACCCTGAAACTCAAAGGAAGAGGGAGTCAGCTGCCTGAAAAATGGTCACAGAGGACCATGCAGAAGAATTATGTGTGGTGGGAGTTGCATGAAGGCAGAACCAGCTGGTTGTGGGTGGCTAAGTTGGCAACATTTGGAGACCAGGTGCCTCTGGAGTTTGGGACTTGTGGAGTTTTGATGGCAATGGGAGACTATTGTAGAGAGGCTGCAATAGGAAAATCCCAGATTTGCTCAGAGGGCTTAGAGAAAGAAAGGAAAAGGCAGGCGGTGGTGTGGCGACTCTGGTCAGTGTGCCTCCAGTGGCTACTGGAGGCTGCAAAGCCAGGGTCAAGCAGCCAGCTTGTAAATTTATGCCCAGACTGGGCACCAGGTGAAGACTTAACTAACTGTTCTTTATAAATAAAATGAGAGTCAGTTATCAAGATAAGAACCTTTAAGATTAGATGTTGTAACTCGTCTTTGTGGGGCTTCAGTCGGATCCAGCCAACCTGCCTTCTTAGTACCTAACGGGGGAGTGTGGGTTGAGAAGAGGCAGGTAAAACACTAAGAAAAAGACAGTGACACAGGATAGAGGGCAATTCAGTGAATGCTGGACACCTCAAGTTTATTCTTCAACATTCTTCAGTACCCCAACCCAAAGGGTAATATGGCAAGAGACTTAGCATGTATAATGAACAAACAGACTTTCTTCCCTGAATTCTCCAAACATTTGGTAACCACACCTTAAACTCAATTTCTCATTATGCAGCCTTGAGAGTTGTTATTTAGATAAGACATCTACTACCAAGATCAAACATTTTACAGTAGCCAACCCTTAGGAACCTTGAATTTTCTTTTTACTATTCCCTTTGTCTGGATTCAATCTTCCTACCTCCTCTTCTGATTTACTTTTATCCATCCCATAGAGATTACTTTCTCAGACTTTGTTGTGTAGTGACCAGTCCCCCATTTTAGCAGCTATTACAGGCTAACATGGGCTTGCATGACCTTGCCGCTCCTGTCCTGGTCTAAGGTCAGATGCCCTCCTTGTGGCAAGAAACCAATCAGAAGTTAGCTTGTGGGGCTGTGCTTTACAGCTCTGGGTGTGCTTTATGGACAGTGCACAACAGTGATGTGCAGAACATAGCAACCGCCCTGGGAGGGCCTATGGGCCATAACAACCAGTTGACCAATCAACACAGGGCAGGTCACCCAAATCTGGAAGCACACCAATCCTGAGACTGTTTCATACCCCTAGACACTCCCCTTATGCTGTCTTTTAAGATCCCTGACTCGAGGTTGCTTGGTATTTTTCTCCAGCCATTAGTCATGGTGGCGGGGTGAAGGGTCCGAGCTAATGGGGTTAGCTCGTTAAACATCTACAATAAAATACTCTTTGCTTTTGTATCGAAATGGGCCTCTTGGTGATTTTGGGATTCAGAATTTTAGGCACAACAGTTGAACTCTCCCTATTATACCTCCAATCTCTAAAGAGGACATCACCTTCTCCCCAGCACCCACTTAGGCCGTACATTTATCTCACCATAAATACTTGTTAACAAGTATTTATGAAAGACCATTTGAAGGTGAGTTTTACCTCAAAAGGTCAGGTTCTGGGTAAGATTCTGTTTCTGGTGATACTGAACAATTCTTTAAAAGTTCTGAGGCTATTTGTCTCTAAAATATAATACTTAGTCAATATGGTTTCTGTAAAATATATTAAATGGAAGAAAACTATGCTTTAAGTTTGAATGAAAATGAGGACACGACTATTCCAAGGTATGGTTGACAGGAAGGGTTTTTATTGTAGATATGAGGGAGAGAACATCAGCAAGAGGTATCTGGAAGGTTCCAGACTTAACAGGCCACGAGAGAGGTGGTAGGTGAATGAGAGAGGAAATGAAGAGAGAGGAGACCAGGAGCAAATAGCAAAGGACTGATGGGGGAAGTCCTTCTGCAAATATGCTTGTCTTATTGGTTGATGAATAAAGCACTGTTGGCCAAATAGGGAAGCAAGATAGGTGGGACTAGGAGTTGAGGAGGATTCTGGGAAATGTAGTCAAGAGTAGGAGATGCCATGTGATCTCAGGAAACTAGGATGAATGAGGCTGCGTCCTCGGTAAGATAAGTCCTTATAAAAATATATAGATTAGTAATTATGGGTTAATAATTAACTCAGAGCTAGCCAATGAGAAACCATAGCAAACAGTCAACAGCTTCATAATTAATATAGTATCTCATGTGTTATTTGGGGGCTGAGACAGTGGGGGGACCCAGGCGGCTGGTACGAAGAGTACACATTACAAAGGACCAAGAGGCCAAAAGACACGGAAGAACCAAGAGGCTGAGACAGCACATGGACTGAAACGACTGAATTATATAGGAAAGAGAAGCCTTGGGGAAGAGAAGCATAGCCCAGTCCCTGGACTGGAGAGGCTTAGGGGGGCAGGGCGAGGAGTGCTGGGAGGAGCCACAGCTGAGACTTGTCCCAGTTTTTTGGGGGAACTTGACAAAGTTATACATGATTAATGCAATACTACAGTCACTGCCATTGCCAATCTTCCTGACACAAGGTTTTATAACCGAAAGGTAAATAATTACAGATGAAATTTTGCAAATTGTTTCCCATGCTCAAGTAAACTCTTCTTACTTATATAACAAAGGCCCCTGAAACACATTGACTTTCAAAAAGACTCATTTTAATGGATATAGCATAAAGGCAAGATGGCTCAGCAGATAAACTCCTTCTCACCAAATCTGAATACTTGATTTCAATCCCTGGGACTCACATGGTAGTAGAAGATAATTAATGCCCACAGTTTGTGCTTTGAATTCTACAGGAATACTGTGGAATGTGGATGCCTCACGAATAAATACATGCAATTAAAAAAACTGTTTTTTTCTCTTAAAGATTTATTTATTGATTATGTATACAGTGTTCTGTCTGCATGTATGCCTGCATGTCATAAGAGGGTACCAGATCTCATTAAAGACGTGATTACTGGGAATTAAAGTCATGACCTCTGGAAGGACAGCCAGTGCTCTGAGCCCAATTAAAAACATTTTAAAGGGTATGATGTAAGTATACTTTCAGTGTAATGGGAGTCAACCAGAACTTACTAAATGAATTTCCTTAACTTGTTTTTTTTCTATAATATCTAATAATAATTAATGGTCAAGATTCTTCTATATTTAAGTCATCTATTGAGTGAAGAATCCTAACAGTGCTTAAACATGTTTCTTGTTTAAGGGTTTAGTATGTGTACAGGTAGTTTGAAAGAATGACTTTGAAATGAGCGGCAGTGTAGGTACTGCTAGCAATTTTGAAGGGATCATCCTATGCTCATAGCCTGCCTTGCCTTGGATAATTGGTAGGTGGCAGCAAGAGACCAGAAATTATGCTGTGTAATTAAGCAGCACTCTGCACAGTTTCTTTGGTTTTAGGTTTTCAGACAGGACTTAATACAGGCTAGCCTCAAACTTACTGTGACCTTCCTGTCTCACTCTCCCTAATTCAGGGATTATAGACATGTACCACCATACCCATCCAAAGAGTCCTTTTCAATGTTATTGTTTCATTAATTTATAAAAATAAAGCAGGATATCAGAAAATCAGGTAGACAATAAAAACAAATAAGCAGGATGCAGCTAATTTACTGAACATAGGCTACTTGAGCCCTTGTCTCATAATATTTCAACAAATTGTGTTTCAAAAGGTTGAGGGTTAGTTTTATTATTCTCTTCTCTAATTCCAGGTGTGACTACAAAGCCCAGGCTGGCCTGAAACTCCTGATTTTCTTTCTTTGTTCTTCAGACTGTTGGGGTTATAGGCATGTGCCAGCATGCTTGCCTTTTAGATTTTTTTTTCATTAGTTCTTATTTCATCTCTTTGTAAGTCCTGAAATCCTTAATCCTTAATTGGCATGCAGGTGTGGAATATTTGAATTTCCTTCTTTTTAATTTTTGATCACTTCTATTATAAGGTTCTTTTGTCCCCAAACATTGTACTGGTGAAGATTTAAGTTGGGGGGGGGATATGTACTTAGCAGAAATGAGTTTAGCGTTTAGTATTAAGTAGCTAATGGGGTTGGTGGAGGGGCTAAGGAGAGAGGCTCTGGGTCACTTCCTCCCAGCCGTAGACCTATTCATGCCACCAGCATCTGGAATGACAGTTCTGGAATCCACTGCAGACATGCCAAGTCAAACTTCATTGCAGAACTGGTCATCTGAGGGGCTGACTGATGACCTTTCAACATTCAAGAAACTGTTTAATCTGAAGCTGCTGCTACAGCTCCTGCATTTAAACTGATACTTCCTTGCCACACTGGAGGCTTCTATGAAACTCCACATTGAGAAAACTGCCACTCCACAACCCACCATACTCGCTGCACTTGTCAAACAGTAAAACAGAATCCTGCCCTCTGCATCTTGGTGCCCTAGAAATCACAGGGAAAACTAAACTCTTTCACCACTCTATGCGTATCTCAGAATCACCATGGTCTCTGCATCACTCAAAGTGTCCTCCCTCTACATGTTCATCTTGCTGGTGGAAACTCTATTTCATATGGAATATAAACTGCACAAAAGTCTAAATGTTACAGCTTACAATTTCCATGAACCACAGTGTGGTGCTATATTATTTATGATTTATTAAAGCTTGCCCAATGATTCAGAAAGCAAAGTCAGCCACACGCCATAGAAACCAGACATATACCTTTAGTCACAGCAGGCAGAAGCTGGGAGGTGGTGGTACACACCTTTAATCCTAGGGCTCAGGATTAAGAGCTCTCTCTCTCTCTCTGAGTTCAAGGACACCTAGGGATATAAGAGATTGAATCAGTCTAAAAGAGGAACAGATCACATGCCTTTAATCACAGCACAGGGTATAAAAGATAGAAGCAGGGTCTTCATAATATTCAGTATGAGGCATTCATTTTCCAGCCACACCAAGGAGAGGCAGCAGGATTAGCCCATTCACCTGAGGTAGTGGTAAGAGCTAGTGGCCCTCTGCTTTGCTTTTCTGATCTTCAGCCTGAAGTTTGAGCCCCAATATCAGTCTCTGGGTCTTTTATTTATTGTGTTACACCACAGTGGGAAGTTAGTTTAAAATGTTTTTATGATTATATATGACATGTTCATTATATACTATGAAATATATATGGTATATAAAGAATATGAAGTATATAAAGACAAGGATTAAAAAGTAAACCTATATTTTGTTGTTGATAAGAAAGGGTCTCGTGCAGCATAGGATGGCCTCAAACTTACTTTGTGACTGAAAATTACCATGAATTCCTTCTGATCCCTCTGCCTACACCTTCCAAGGCTCTGGGATTGTAGGGGTTTGCCACCACACCTAACCTAAATAGTAAACTTTTACTTTTTAGATTTATACAATGATTGTGAAGATAGCACAGAACACCCTTCTCATTACTCATATCGTAGCATTGGTGACAAGGGACATGCTTGTAACATCATTCCTAATAACACCTTTTTTCACAATTAACGGACTAACATCAATCTCTGACTTCTGATTTGCTCCATTTTTATGTAGGCTTCTTTTCTGCTCCAGGATCCCATCAGGGACATGCATTATGTTCACTATTTCTTAAGACTTCTGGAAGGTGCTTCTCGGTATGTTGTTTCTTTTGTCATGACTTTGACAGTTTTGAAGATTATTAGTCAGTTTTTGAGACAAAGTCTTTCTATGTAGCCCTGGCTGTTCTGCAACTCACTGTATATATGAGACTGGCTTTGAATTCACAGAGCTATATCTGCCTCTGTCTCCCAGTGCTGTGACTAAAGATATGCACTACCATGCTTAGCTATTATGTATTTTATAGTATCCTAATAATTTTTTTAATTTTTAAAAGTTTGCACAAGTTTCAAACATACACAAATTTAGAGAACAAGATAATGAAACCTCATATACCCATAACTCAACATTTATAACCATCATCAGTTTGCCAAGATTAGTCTATCTAAAATGTTGTACTCCCTACCCTTGAGGATTTAATAACAAATAACAAATGTTATATACTAGTACTCTTTATTTCACTATACCACTAATATATCAGGTTTTTAAAAATTACTTATGTATATGTCAAGGTTGTAATTCAATTTGTAAAGTGTTTACCTAGCATACAACACCCAGCATCACAGGGCCACCAAGTCTGATGGTCTGAGTTATATGAAGAAGATGGAGAAAGATGAGGGGAAGTAGTAGTAGTTGTGGTTTCAGGCTATCTTTAGTTACATAGCTAGTTTGAGGCCAGTCTTGGACACATGAAATAACTATTGCAACAAGTAATAAGCCTCATGAGATAGATACTTGCAACTTCAGCACTTGGGAAGCTGAAGCAGGAAGATTACCATGAACTCTAGACTACACTGTGAAACCCCATCTGAACAACAAACAAAAAACACCCTAAAACAAATAAATTAAATAAATCAAAACAAAGCTGCTGATGACTCTGTTATATTGAGTAGTCAGCCTACATTCAAAATTCTAACAGACTATTTGGGCTCAATGATGTTCTATTGAAAGTTTTGACCCAGCAGTAGGGCATTTGCCTTGCATTCATGACACCCTGGCTTCAGTTCTCAGCACTGCCAAAGCAGGGGGTTGGAGTGGAGGTGGGGGAGTTCTGTTCAATTAACACATTCAAGCTATGATCTAAGCAAGGCTTATTTATTGAATTTGGCTGACTGAAGAAAGGAAACTTTTACATCCATTTCTGCTAAGACTTGAAATAGCAAAACCACTCTTATACTTAAATTCAAGATGAAGTGCTTCATGCCCTGTATGAAACCAATGGGGCATCTTACACTGTTTATATAGCTGTTAGCCTAGCACTCATCTCAAGCTTCAAGGATTGCTATGAGGAGGCACTAAGTGTTGGGAGCCCTGTGGCCTAGTTTTGGATCAGCATATGAATGCTTGCCCAATGGGTCTCTGAGAGGCAAGACCTGTGGAGATGGTCTCTTATCCAGCAAGAACCAGTATATCTCAGAACAGCACAGAATGCTGCCAAGGACTATGGCCTGCACACTCTTCTCTCTCATAATATTGAAGATTTTCTTGGTGGTTTTTAGTGTCACTTTGTGAGTCACACCACGGACAGATGTGATTATTCCCCCAAGTTATATTTTTTCTCAAATATTTTCCCTAAAATTCTTTGGGTACTAACACTTCTCAAGTTTCTTATACAGAAGCTTAAGCATGTAGGACCCTTTGGAGGACAAGGGACCAATTAGAGAAATACAAGCAAACTGTATGCAAGCGTTTTACAGAAAATAACCCCTTTTTCTGTAGAAATTCAGTCTTGAATGATATTGTTCTTGAGAATGTGTTCCTATGTTTATCACCTTTTAGCTTTGTAAAGATAGGATGTGCCTGGCTTGACATTTAGCCAAGGTAACAACATGTTGAGTGTTGTTTTAGGTAGGGAATCTATTGAGCCTTGGGCAGCAGATCAGTACCCATCCCAGGTATACACACGGACTTTGGACTCCCATAGAACAATGTGAGGTGCACTCTCACCCTGAACTCTTGGGGAAGGGTCTAGGCCCTGTCCTATATGAAATGACAGACTATGCACACCCCCATGGAGGGCCTCACCCTCCCTGGGGAAATGAGGGGATAACGGGGGGGGGGGGGTTGGGGGAGGGCACGGGAGGAGGGGAGGGAATGGGAGAGGGACCTGGAACTGACTTGTGACGCAACCTCGTTTCTTATCTAAATTTAAACTGGAAAATAAAATTTAAAAAAAAGTTATTTGATGGGGGAAGTCCTTTTGTGTATATATATAAAGCACTGTTGGCCAATAGGGAAACAAGATAGGTGGGACTAGGAGTCTAGGAGGATTCTGGGAAATGTAGTGAAGAGAGTCCTTGCCATGTGATCCCTGGAGGAAGGAACACAAGTCTGGCGTTTATAAGTCCTTATAAAAATATATATTAGTAATTATGGGTTACTGATTAAGTCAGAGCTAGCCGATTAGAGACCATAGCAAACGACCAACAGATTTATAATTAATATAGTGTCCTGTGTGTTATTTGGGGGCTAAAGCGGCTATGGGACCCAAGCACGTTACAGCTGTTTTGATGTAAAAGTTGGGAAAAACCATATTTGACTGACATAGAGATTGTCTTGTCTACCTTTATTTCAGTTTCTAGTGCCTGGTCATGTTATACTTACACTGCAGGCAGAGTTCCCTTTTCTATGTGTTACCCTAATGTGGTCCTATACCACAAAGAAGTTGCTTTTCTTTTATACTCTCTACTCCTCCTCTCATCTCCCTTCCCAACTTTTCTCCCCACTCCCTTTTCTTTTTCACAAGTTCCTTCTATGTAGCTCATAGTTTGAAGGAATACTGTGCATCATGGTGGGGAAGGCATGGTGAGAAGTGAAAGGATTCTGCATCCTGATGCAACAATCCAAATCAGGCCAAGTCAAACAAATCAGGAAAAGCCCACCTTTAATGAATACAATGCTCAGAGAGGAGGCGGGAAAGAGAGACCAAAAAAAAAACCACATGTCTATTTTTTGGGGGACCCTTAAGCATCTCTGGGGGAGAGGTCATTTGGTGGGCTTTCTGAGATACAGCAGGGTTTTGAGGGAGATAGGGGATTAGGGCTTGGGTGGAATTTCTACCATAACATTCCAGACTCTTTGGGTATATGGATGCTAGGGGCTGGGGTGAAGCTTCCACCAGAACAAGAAGCAACTGTAGTCGAGAGCATGTAGCAGCTGTTTGCTCACATCTCAGTGGTACAGGAAGTAGATAGAGATGCAGAAGCAGGTCTGAGCTATAGACCCCAAATCTCCACTTCCTCCAGCCTGAGACCACTTCCTGAAGGTTTCATAAACACACTAACAGATTCTACCAAGTTTTTAAATACAAGAACCAATCAGGGTTGCCTCACATTCAAACCATAACATCTCTGAATCCATAGGATTGCAGGAGTATGCCACTACTCCTGACCCGCAAATTTCTTTTAAAAAACCATGTCAAGGGAATGATAGAACTAAATATTAATTTCAATGTGTAGTAACACAGAGTCTATTAATTCCTTGTTGATTCTAATGTTGTTGCCCAGGTCACAAAACCCAAACTTTTCATATAATTTAATCCTATTTATATGTGAGGATCCTAGATACATTTGTTTGTATAATGAGTCACTCATAAACAGGATTGGCAGTAGTCTGTTTAACTTGGTATAATGCTTTGTAAAATCATTCGATAATATGTATTAAGATGTAGATACATTACATAACAGGGGCTAGAAAGATGGTTCAGTGGTTAAGAGCACTTGCTCTTCTTACAGAGGACCTGAGTTTGATCCCAAGTACCCATGTGGTGACACAGAACCACGCTTAACTCCAGGAATCCAGTGCTCTCTTCTGTAAGTCCTAGGCATGCACATGGCACACATGCATGCATGCAAGCAAAACATTCATATACATAAAACAAAAATAATCTTAAAAAAAAGAACAATTCTTGCAGTCAGACATAGTGGTGTGTACCTTTAATCCAGCATTTGTAGGCAGAGGCAGGCAGAGCTCTGTGAGTTCACAGCCATGTTTATCTACACAGCAGGTTCCAGGCCAGCTAGGGTTACATATTGATCTTGTCTCAAAAAGCAAACAAAGAAACAACAACACAGAACAATACTTTGGACTGGATATAGTGGTTCATATCCCTAATCCTGGACTAGGCAGACTGAGGCAGAAAGATTGAGAGTCTGAGGTGGCTACACAATGAGTCCTGTCTTCTGACTACCCCCAAAAAAGGGGAGGGGAGCTATACATATATTTCCTTTATAATATTTTTATGATGGCTAAAAATAAGAAACAGCCTGAATATGCAATAGCATGTTAAATTAAAATATTATACATATTAGAAATATTATACATATTATTCATATTATACATATGAATTAAGATATCATTAGAAATACTATGACTTGGAAAAGACAACAAAAATTCAATTTATACTTAAAGAATGTATGTTTTATATTAATATTATACTTGAATCCATGCTATATTTAAAGATATACACATATATGCACACACATACATGTATATGTATACACACATATACATATAGAGATAACAGTCAAAAATGATATCAGATGTGTTAACATTATATGGATGACTGATTTTTAAACATTTCATAAATTTTTCTAGCTCTTACCTGATATTAGAAACACTTGCTTCCAATTCTAAAGTCTTAGAATCACATTGTATTAGTAATTCACACTGAAATGGTACATAAAAATTTCCATTAACTAATGTTCTGCTGTTGGTAGACACAATACTACATTTTTTGCTAAGCAAATGTCACTTGCTGCTATAACACTTCTAGAGTTAAAATAGAGCTACCAAATAACTGGCAAAGGTACTCCTAGGTAAATGTGATTAAGGGAAGGTCAGTGATTTTGAAGACACAGAACTAATGGGTAGCTGCACTGCATGTGGAGGACACAATTTTACAAGCACTTGCAAGGCAACTGAGCAGCACAGGAAAACCTGGGGGCACCTGGAGGCATCCCAGGTAAAGTGGGTTCCAGAGAAGAATTTTTATTGTGTTGTACTAAGAGCTCTGGGCAGTGGGCTACCTTCAGGATTTGGGGAAGCATGAAATAACAGGTTAGAGGAGGTCAGCGACATAGGTTTGCTTTTGAATGTAATAGAATCTGAAGATCTCTGAGAAAGATTTAAAATCCATGTGATTCCATGGTCTTCAGGAAGTAATTTGGGAGATTAGAGAAAGGAGTTAATTGTGAAGTCTGCAATACCAAGGTAAACTGATCCAGACTAGCTCTTCTAGGACATATCTTACCAAAAAAAAAAAAAAAAAAAAAAAAAAAAAAAAGGGTTTTTTATCATACTCTGCCCAAGTTTCAGAGTACTTATTGACTTTGGTACAGGGTCTCACCACGTAGCCTTAGCAGACCTGGAACCAGGCTGATCTTATACTCACAAAAGATCAGCCTGCCTCTCCCTCTCCAGTGCTGGGATTAAAGGCCTATGGCACCACAGCTGACCCTGAGTTTTGTGCCTGTGTTCCCAGATAGAGATGGCACATATTATCTAATTGACTTGTAGTAGATACTTATATTTGGAGAGATGCAAAGAAATGTGTAAAGGTATTGAGGCCAACAAATAAAGCGAGAAACATAAATTCTCACATGTAAAAGTATTTGAAGTTTAAAAGACAGACTATCAAAAGTTGTATCCTGATTATTTGGAGTGATGGGTTAGTATAAGGCTTCAAATGTGTCACTAGAAAATATAATTCTCTAAACTGTCTTAACTGTCCTAGGCAACTGAAATGTCACTGAATAGCAATCAAGACAATGAAAAGTACAAAACATATAAAACTGTAAGTCTTTGTTTCCAGTAGCATGTGTTGAAATTATTAAAATTTCTCATCCTAGACAGTGTCACACTTACTTAGAATGAGGATTCAGGCACAGACCTTTCAGAATTAGAAGGCTGACTGAAAAGGCCAAGCATAACTTATGGCTTATAAAACTCACAATTATCATGGATTTGGCAGTTGCCAGAACATTTCAGAATTAATTCGATGACTGAATACCCTCTGCCACTAAGCTAAAAGCAGGTCTTTCGTTTCAAATGCAAATCTCGGGAGTAATTGAGGAGGGATTGGAAATGGGGATATTGTTTCAAGGGCACAAAATTTGTTCATAAGGAGAACACTACATTCACAGAATGGTGAGCATAAATATATATAGATAATATATATATTTGAAATTGCTGAGATCGCAAATGAAATCAGATGTGAGATGAATGTTAATTAGCTTGCATTAATGTCTTTACATAAAAGCACCAGAACTTAGACAAATTCCTTGACAATGACAGACCAAACCAGGGCCATTTTAGAAAGAGGGCAGGAAACAGAATATGAGATCCTCACCCCATAACCTGTGCAGACTGGCTCACATCACCCACCCAGTTCCAGGAAAAGAACAGATAACCATACACGACCTGAGAACAGATACCTTGCCAGATTAACCTACGGACATTCCCCAAGTTCCTCTCGACACCCCAACCAATCAGCTCTGAACCCGCATCCCTCACCCTGTCCTGTGGTTCTAGTCTTATGAAGAAGCCCTTGCTCAGGAGCTGGGTCCCCTGCAGTTGTTGCTGCAGCCCGCGGGATGAGGCCCTTGCCTAGGCTTGAGTTAGGAAACCTTGTGCTCGCGTTTGGAGTCGGCTCCTTGGACTGAATTCTGGCCATTTTTATCCCCTATTACCCTCTCCCACCCCTGCTCCTCCCAACAAGTCCCCTCCTATTTCCATCCTTAACAAAAAAAAACAGAACAAATCCCACAACCTCTCAAGAAAACGTAGCGGGTAGCTACATGCACTCGCTGGGTTTGCCCCTTCGCACGCCCGCCCTGCGGCAATTAAGGGAAGCGGGACCCTACGGGCCGCCGTCCTTCGCGGCCTTGCGCGTGACCCCGCGCTCTCGCCCCGCGCCGCACACGCCGCTCGCACTGCTCGCGAGAAGGCTGCCACCATGGCGGCGCCGCTCAAGTCTGTGGACTACGAAGTGTTCGGGAGAGTGCAGGGTAAAGCTTGCCCGGGGGGGGCCGAGGCGGGGCTGTGGGAGAGGCAGGGGAAAGGAGTGCCATCCTTCTCTACCGCGGCCTCTTCCTCCGGAGGCACGGACTTCCGCTCGGCCGTGACTCAGCAGCCGCGCGTGGGAAGGAGGGGCACTGCGCGTGCGCGGGAGGGCGGCGGCAGGGAGGTCACACAGGGTGTGCGAGGCCGGCGGCCAGCCGACCGGAAAACTCCCGTGGGTCAGAGGAGCTTAGGTTATTGCTCACAGAGGCTTGTCGGGTTTGGGTTTAGCTGATGGTTTGCTTCGCCAGAGCTTGTAGTCCCCTTCTAGCTAGCTAGCAGTTTTTCCTTCCTGGGTTCTGGTGATTGAACCTTACACATTTATACCTACTTTTTGCATTTGTGCACAATTTAAATTAAGTTTTCTAGTTTTTGTTTCATTGTAAGCTTACGCAGTTGCACAGAACATGATGTCTGACTTAATTAAATTTTTTATACTTTAAACGTTTAAACATTCATTGAAATTTACCTAGTGGGACTTGACATGCCTTAGTAAGGCAAAAAAAGGCACGTGAATCTCTTTGAATTCGAGACCACTGTAGTCTACACACACAGACTACTAGAATATAAATACTGTAGAGACTTAATATATACTATTATTCATGTAAAAGAAAAAAGTCTTTTTGAGACTGGGTATATAGCTCAGTTGGTAGAGTGCATGCCTAATGTTCACCAAGACAGCAGTGTGGGGTGGTGACCTATAATCCAGCCGGCACTTGTGAGGTGGCTACATATCAAGCTGAAGTCAGTCGAGGTTCTGTGAGACCCTGTCTCCAAAATAAAAACAAGGTTCTCTTATAGCGAGATAACTTAGTGCTTGAGTCTTATTAACATTCTGCCTCCTCATAATTTTATCCCACCCTTTGGTATGTAAGACAGTTTCTTACTACTCACTCCATCTGCACCCCATCACCCCAGATGTGTTATGTATATGTGTAATCTAAATGGGATACTCGATAAATTTATTACACTTCAACAGCAGTAAGCTTTAATGACAACCATTAGTAGATTTAAAAGGTGAGTTTGTATTGGGAATTTATTTCTAAGCAGGAAATCTGGGATTTTTTTTAAATGGAAACTTATTTAAAGAGCAGGGGAATATTATCCTTTTATTTGATATTTTATGGATATTTTACACTTTGGGGCAGTGTATCCAGGGTAAGCTTAAAACAATGGATGGAAGTATTTCATTGTTGTTGTTGTTTGTTTTATAAGGAACCTCTGTTTCAGAGAGTCATTATGAAAAAGGAGGCAGGGAATGAAAATCACAACAGAGAAGTCTGAGGTCAGGGTTAGGAAAGAATGCATGAGGAAACTGCAAGTTTGAAAACTGATTTCCTTATAATTCTTGTACCTTTAGAAAGTGTACCAGGAGTCTGAAATCTGGCTCAAATATGGAAATTAATTGCCTTTTGCCATAATTCGATCATGTCTGACCCCAAAAGCTGAGTAGTGTTGGGCCTGGTTGGTACTTTTGATACTGTGGTAACTTGAGTACATGTGAAGTTAACGAAAACCCCAAAATGGAGGGCACATCTGAGAGGGATTTTTGCTTAATTTGAAGTGGGAAGATTCACTTCTAAACTAGATCTTTGAGGTAGAAAGACCCACCTCTAATCTGGCCACACCTTTTGGGAACCTATATAAGGACCTGGAAGAAGGAAGCTTTGGGCTTTTGCCTTCCTGCCCTCACCTTCCTAGCAGGTCCATTCCTTCACTGGCATTAGAGTCCATTTCTTCAGGATTCTGACATATACTAAGACCAGCTGAGACATCCAGCCTCATGGACTGAGCAACTATCATATTCTTGGGCTTTCTATTCATAGCCAGCCATTGTTGGATTTGCAGGACACAACCTATAAGTCATTCTAATAAATCCCATGTGGCAGCACTGAATCACCAAAGCCAAGGTGATCTTGGCTATTATAATGGGCAGCATAGACAGAGCAATGTCCATAATGGCCTAACCCATAATGGTCATGGCAGGCAAAGTGAATCTTAGGGCAGTATGACTTATATGGACCTTTGGTACTGCTTATCAATCATAGTGTTTCCATATAAGAAATAAAGAAGCTGCCGGGCGTTGGTGGCGCACGCCTTTAATCCCAGCACTCGGGAGGCAGAGGCAGGTGGATCTCTGTGAGTTCGAGGCCAGCCTGGTCTACAGAGTGAGTTCCAGGACAGCCTCCAAAACAATACAGAGAAACCCTGTCTCGAAAAACCAAAAAAAAAAAAAAAAAAAAAAAAAAAAAAAGAAATAAAGAAGCCTACTAAATTTTTATTTGATCTGTGGGAAAAAATCTCAAGTTAATAAAAGAAAGGCTGCATTTGATTATGGTAAAAGACAATCAATTTCCATATTTGAGCCAGATTTTAGACTCAGAATCTCTTGAATGAACAGCCAGATTCTCCTGAGGAAGGATCTTTATAAAACACCTAGAAGTTTTACTGCTAGCCTTTCTCCAGTCCTGCCTGGAGGAATCTGTGGCCTTTTACGAGGATAACTGTACACTGGGGGAAAAGGAAACAGTTAGACTTTTTTGGGTCTATTGGATACTGGCTCTGAATTGATCCTGATTCCAGGAGATCTCAAGAAACACTGTGGCCCTCCAGTTAAAGTAGAGGCTTATGGAGATCAGGTGATTAATGGGGTTTTGGCTGAAGTCCTGTTCACATTAGGTCCAGTGGGTCCCAAACTCATCCTGTGGTTATTTTCCAAGTCCTAGAATGTATAATTGGGATAAATATATTTAGAAGTTGACAGAATTCTCACTTTGGTTCCCTAATCTGTTGAGTGTGAACTGTTATGGTTGGAAAGGCTAAAGGAAGCCTTTAGAGTTGCTTCAGTGAAGAAATATAATGAATCAAAAACAGTGTCACATTCCTGGAGGAAATGCAGCAATTAGTGCCACCATCAGGGACTTGAAAGATGCAGGGGCGTGGCTTCCCACACATCCCCTTTTAGCTTTTTTATTTGATCAATGCAGAAGGACAGTGGAGAATGACAGTTGACTATTAAAAACTCAGTCAAGTAATGGCTATAATTGTAGCTGCCATACCAGAGATGGTGCCCGTACTTGAGCAGATTAACACATATGGTGCATGGTATGCAGCTATTCATCCAGCAAATGCATTTTTCTCAGTACCTGTCCAGAAGGACACCAGATGCAATTTGCTTTCAGTTGGTAAGGCCAGCATTGTACTTTTACAGTTTTACCTCAAGAATACATTAACTGTCCAGCCCTGTACCATAACTTAGTTAGAAGAGATCTTAATTCTCGGTCTCTTCCACAATATAACACATTGGTGCACTATACTGATGGCATTATACTGATGGGAGCAAGGGAGCAGAAGGTAGTAACCTCTCATAAATGGAGGCAGACATTTTCTTTTGTCCTGACCATCCAGTCTCAAATAATCACACAGAAGCTTATATTAATTATGAAATGTTTGGCCTATAGTTCAGGCTTATTACTAACTAGCTCTTACAACTTAACCCGTTTCTATTACTCTACATTTTATCACATGACTTCGTGGCTGTACCTGTTCTCTAGCATGTCTTGTTTCTCTGGTGGCTGACTCTCTAGACTCTGCCCTTCTTTCTCCCTGTATCTGTTTGTCTTTCCTGCCTAGCCTTATTCTGCCTATCTATAGGCCAATTCAGCTTTATTATTAACCAGTGAGAGGAATATATATTCACAGTGCACAGGATTATCCTATAGCAATCTCTTTGGATTCATTGGTAACCCAATGAATAAATCCAATCAAAATTCAAGGACCTTCCACCTCAGTGAAATTCTTAGGAGTCCAGTGGTGTGGAGCATGCAGAGTTAGTCCTTCCAAGGTAAATAATAAGTTATTGCACCTGGCCCCTCCCACCACCAAGAAAGAAGCACAATATTTAGTGGACCTGTCTGGATTCTGGAGACAGCACATTCCCATATGCAAAGTAACTTGGAAAACTGCTAGCTTTGTGTGGGGCCTGGGACAGGACAAGACTCTTCAACAGGTCCAGGCTGCTGTGCAGGCTGCTCTACCATTTGAACCATATGATCCAGCCAACTCTATGATACTTGAGGTATTAGTGGCAGATTCCTACAGGTAAATCACAGAAGAAACCTTTAGAGTTTTGTAGCAAAGCTCTACCATCATCTTCAGACAACTATTCTCTCTTTGAAAGACAGGTTTTTAACTTGCTATTGGAACTTAATGGTAACTGAACATTTGACAATGGGCCACCAAATTCCCATGTGACATGCTGTGTCCATCATGAGCTGGACATTATCTGACCCACCAAATTGTGAAGTAAGGCATACACAGCAGAAGACTATTGTCATATGGAAGATATGATAGGGCCTGAACAAATCCTGATGGCAAATTACATGATGTTGCCCAAATGCTTATGGTTACTCCTGTTACAATGCTGTCTGTTGCTTCATGCTTCATATGCCTCATGGAGCATTACCTTTGATTGATTGACAGAGGAAAAGAAGACTAAGGCCTGGTTTACCGATAGTTCTGCACATTATCTAGGCACCACCCAGAAGTGGACAGCTGAAGCATTACAACCCCTTTCTGGGACATCCCTGAAAGATAGTGGTGAAGAGAAGGCTTCATAGAGGGCAGAAGTTTGGGCAGTACACATGGTATTACCATTTGTTTGGAAGGAGAAATGGCCAGATGTGTGATTTTTCATTGACTCATGGGCTGTAGCCAGTGGATTGGCTGGATTGTCAGGGACTTGGGAAGAGTGTGATTGGAAAATTGGTGAGAAACACATGTGGGGAAG